TCCCGCTGTGCCCGGCGGTATTCCCGCTGTGCCCGGCGCTATTCCCGCTATGCCCGGCGCTATTCCCGCTGTGCCCGGCGCTATTCCCGCTGTACCCGGCGGTATTCCCGCTGTGCCCGGCGGTATTCCCGCCGCTTCCCAGGGAGCTGCCGTGGTGTGGGAGGGAAGAGCCCTGGCGGGGAGCAGCTGCTCCCGTGTGGGGTTCTGCGCTGGGCTTTGTCCTCCAGCCCGGCACGGAAGGAATTGGGGGTGCTGGTGGATGGAAAGTTGGGGCTGAGCTGGCGCTGAGCTCCCAGCCCAGAAATCCGGGCGTATCCTGCATCCCATTCAGCGGGCCGTGGGTGAGGGAGGGGGTTCTGCCCCTCTGCCGCGCTCTGGGGATTCTCCACCTGGAGCGCTGCATCCAGCCCTGGAGCTCCCAGCGTGAGAAGGGCACAGACCTCTTGGATCAAGTCCAGGGAAGGCCAGGAAGATGATGAGAGGGATGGAGCAGCTGCGGAGACAGGCTGGGAGAGTTGGGATGGCTCAATCTGGAGAAGTCTCTGTGGAGACCTCCTTGCAGCCTGTCAGGACTTAAGTGGTGCAAGAAAGATGGAGAGGGACTTTTTATGAGGGCCTGTAGCTGCAGGACAAGGGGCAATGGGTTTAAGCTGAACGGTTTAGGTTTAGACTAAATGTAAGGGAGAATTTTTTTCTGCTGGAGGGTGGTGAGGCATTGGCTCAGGTTGCCCCGAGAAGCTGTGGATGCCCCATCCCTGGCAGTGCTCAAGGCCTGGTTGGATCCTGTTGGATGGGGTTTGAGCAACTAGATCTTGTGGAAGGTATCCCTGCCCATGGCAGGGGGCTTGGAACAGCTGTAATAACCAGCAGAAGGCTACAGAACAGCCCGTGTTGTAAATGAAGCTGCGCTCTATGAATAGTAAATATCTGAATGTAACTTCTTTAAATCAGTGTGAATGAGCTGAGAGGTTGGTACAATGGATTTAGGTCTGGAATTCAAAACTGTTAATCCAGGCTTGGTTGCATCTGTGTTGCTGTCATTTGGGGATGTCAGCTTTAGATCTTGGTGCCTTCAGCAGCATCTTCAGATCTTGCTGTCAGTCAGGGACTGATTTTCAGCCTTTAATTTTTTACGCATTCCCTTGCCTCGTGCTGCAGTTGGGAATGTTCATTCTCTCAGGAAGGGGGTGATGTGAATTCCCTCCTGCAGGGCTGAGGTGACCCTCGGTTACTGCTGAGGGACAGGCTGTGCAGGAGCTGCTGATGAAACACTGCCCAGGAGTTAGTGGGCCAGCAAGGGTGTCCTGCTGCACAGAAGAACTTAGTGCTGCATGTAAATACCAGAACTGGAGTTTAAGTTTCAAAGTACGGGATCTGTGTAAATAAAAGTATCTCAACAAATTGATAGCATTTCCTATCAAATGGGTGTAGGGAGTAGAGCTGTCATTTTTACTTAGAAATTATGGCATCAGCATGTTCAAACTTCTCAGGTGTTGGCTTTCCAGACTTGCACAGTTACCTACCGTTACTTGATTTTCCCCTTAACTTTCCTGAGAATTTGGCAGCCAAACCATTTGTAGATCAACTTCTTTATTTTTGCATAATGGTACACAATCATACTCTCTGCCTGGGAAAAACAAAGTAAATGACTTCCAGCTTTAAAATGAAATGTCTGTGCTTGTATGAAAGAATTCTTTTTGTTCTACGTAAACAAAGTTTGACAGCTCGACAGGACTGAGAGCAGAATCTTGGCCTTTCAGTTCTTAAACTGGTAAATTTTACAAGTTTTAAACTTGTAAATGTAGTAATTACAGAGCATCAACAGGAAGGCCTAACAATGTTCCCTGTCTTCTGTAAACTGTTAATGCTTTGGAGCAAATAGTGAGGCTCTGAAACCAGAGCTGTTCCCGGGATACTCTGATATCCCACTGGGTAGGGGAAGAGTTGTTGCTCTGGGCCCGTGAGCTCTTGAGGTTGTGTTGCTGGTTGATTGTTTTGGTCCTCTCTCCTCTTGAACAGGGACCATGCCCAAGAAAGATAATAATAAATAAAGAAGGCAAAGTGAATTACATGCAGCTGAAGAAGGATTTTGACCAGAAAAAGGCAACAATACAGTTTCATCAGCCTCAGAGATTTAAGGTGGGATTGTTTCACTGGATATAATTGATGCTGGCTCAATAATGTGGTGTGTTTGAGTTGCACTAGGCATGGCTTCATCTCTGTCCCCAGGGGAAGTGGTTGACATTGATGACCTGCTGAAATCTTTACATGAGCTGGATTAAAACACACTTTATACTTTTGCACTGTCCATCATGTTTCACTGCTTTGCAGTAAGAACAAAATCTGATTCATGCTATAATATGTGTAATAATATATTCTTTTTAAAATTTTGCTCTGTCACATAAAAGTTTGGAAACAAAAACAAATGCACAAAATTGATGATTAGGCATCTGTGCTTAAATTATCCCTTCTGCCCCACTGTCTCCTTGTGCAAACTTTGTGGCTTTTGAGCCACTTCCCTTTAATGGAGGGTAAGGTGTGAAACCATGTGAAATATTTCCAGTGTTCTTGCCAGTGAATTGCACCATGGAAAGGTACCAGCCCATTTTAGCTGAGTGTTCTCAGTCCTTGAGTTTGAGAAGGAGACAGTGGTGCTGCACAGTTGTGTAAAGGACTTGGATTCTTGGAGGTGCTTTGATTCAGGTAGTCTTGAAGGTGTCAACACAATTGAATTGTGAGGTGGGCCCAAATAAGATCCCAAATACAAGCTGAGTCCCAGGTATAGTGTTCCTGGCTGCTGTCAGCTTTAATGGCCAAGCTGCACTTGTGTGGATCTGGTACTTGGCACGTTCTGCTGTTTCCCTTCGGTGCCTTGTCTGTCACATGTGGGGTGTGGATGAGTCAAGTTTGGTTTTGAATATTCCCAAATGACTGGAGTAACTGGTGAAAGGTCTCTAACCTTTGTGTGTTCTCTCTGGTGAGAGAATGCAGGTCCTGCATGTGCTTATTGTCTTATGGTGTTCTGCTGTTTGTGGGGTTATTTTCCTCTGTTCAGCCTTGTCTGTCTGGTTGTGCAGCCTAAAGATGGCACAGGGAAGAGAACAAACCCAGGTTGGGGCACCAGACTTTTTGGCTTAGCAATGACTCTCCTGGCAGATCCCCTTTGCATCTCCAGTGCTCTCCTTCAGGAGAAACACTGGTACAGAGCACCTTCCTTCCCAGCCTCTGTGTCCCTGATGTGATCATTCTTCCCAAGCCATGGGGAGGATGTGGGCTGGGCTTGCCTGAGCTCTTCAGCAAGTAACAGCATCTTTTTTTTTACAGGAGGAGCTGTGGAAGATTTTCAGGAGAAGCTGGAGTGCTACTTTGGGTCTCTGGTGGGGTCCAATGTTTCCATCACTGCCCAGGGATCCCAGGGCCTTCCTCCTCACTATGATGATGTTGAGGTAGGACAGCACAACCTTGCCTGGGAAATTGTGCATGGGCTTTTGCTGATGGCAGTGTTTGCTGTTGTGTGTGTGCTTCTAACCCTCCCCCCCACTAAACATTATAGGAAAATGTTTTTTTTTTTTAATTTGTGTTTCCTTGTAATCATTTTTCTTACGTATTTTTGCTGAAAATTTACTAATAGTAATATCTAATCATAATATCATGTAAACTGGGTTTTCCAGACCTGGTATTTCCCTTAGATAAAAGGAGAAGTTTGTTTTCACAGCTGCAGAGAAGCTTTCTAGCACCTGTTTTTTCATTTTCACTTCATTCAGGCCCCAAGAACTTACAAGTCCTTTTTCCTTTACTAAGTACTTGCTCTTTCTTCAGCTGGACTGTAACAGCAGACTGGTTGTGCTTGTTGGTCCTGCTGTTTTTAAGAAGTTACTGATATGATGAATTCCTGTGGTCCAAATGCATTTTAAATCAGCTTCTAAAAGAAACATACAAATATACACTGCGTTATAAAGAAAAAATTGGACTATCCCACTTAAACCAAATCAAAAAATCCAATCCTTATATATCTATTTTGCTTTTTAATATTTTCATTTCCATTCAATACACCTGGAGTTTCATTTTCCTTATGCTTGTTATTCAGCAGCCTCACATCCAGCATTTCTAACTCATGCCATCTACCCCCACTGGGCACCCTATAGAGGTTTCTGATGCTCTGTTGGGGATAAGCCTCTTCCACCTGAAATTTTGGATATTTGTGTGGCAGATGTTCCTTTTGGGTTAGTTCTCTAGCACTTACTGAAGTGACTGGAGAGAAACAGGGATTTCCAAATGCCTGCCTTAGGATAAAACAGATCCCACTTCACAACTCCTCTGTCTGTTGTCTCTAAATAGAGACAAAAAAAAAATAGTTCAAATTTAAATTTCTCTGAATTGTAGCCATCTAAAAATTAATGAGGGGAGGGTTTGCACACTGCGAGCACGAGAAATTTGGGTGAGAGTTGTCTGTATCCTTTTTTAAAGGTATCCTTTGCTTCTAGTATTTAAATAAGGGGCCAAAAACCCCAGTTATTTCTGTAAATTGACTAGTACTCTCCAGGTTGGGCACCCTGACTCCTAGGTCATGTTTGTGGAGTTGTGTGCAGAAAAAACACTGGGTTTGTGTATGGTTCTAAAACATTTTTATGCTTTTACATGCTGCCTGTAATCCCTCAGGCTAATCCTTCTGTGCACTGAGACTTACTGCTGCACTGAACATTGTCACTGTTCTGGTGAATGAGATTTAAATATTTATCCTTGGCTGATAAAGAAAAGCATGACCCAAACCCCATATAAACTTGCTGTATTAATTGCTCTTCCTTTTTCCAAACCTGAAATTCAAGTGTTTGGTTGGTGGTTGATTTTTGGAATGAAAGGAACATTTCATGAAGATTACTGAGTGTCAGCAGGGAATCTGGTGCTTGTCCTGTTCTGTTTGACCTGCTTTTGAAGTGTTACTTGTCCAGCTGGTGGTGCTGCTCCATGCTGGAATCCTCAGGAGTTTCTCTGCCTTTTGGCCTGTTATGGAGCCTCTCTCTGCTCTTCTCAGTGTCCAGAGCTGCATTTGGGTGTCGGTGTTTGAGGAATAGTGTGACATGTTGGATGGTGTAGGTGTTTTAGGAATAGTGTGACACATTGGATGGGATGCTGACATCATGAGCTGTGTTGTTTGACAGAGGGGAATATTCAATCGTCATCGTGTACTGGGTGATGCAAAGTCTGGTAAACTACAGTTCCCTTTTTCATTCCTGGAATATTTTGGACCAGACTTCAGTGCCTTTCATTTTTATGGAATAATGATGGGCTTAAAAGTTATCCAGGTTTTTAATTTATTTTTCTTCTGTTTGCTGTTGTTCACTTCCTGTGACCCATTTCTTCTGGGTGGCTGCTGTCAAAGTTTGGTTGTCTCTTTGTGGCTGCCTCTGAGAGGGATGCTGTTGTTTGACTCTATTTCCTCCCTGAACATCTTTCTAGAATATTTCCTTTCTCCATCTTTCAAGTGAAGAGAATTCAGAATACTCTTGGTTGCTGTGGTCTCCACTCTGGTAAGGAAGGCAGTTTTCTTTGACTGTGCTGTCCAACTCTGTAGGTGTTTACAGGACAAGCCACAAGTAAACTTTTATTTCCTTCTTGGAGGCAATTTTATGTGCTTTACACCTTTCTTGCCTTGACTTTCCTTATCTAGTTTTTTTTCAGTGTGGAGTTTTAATTTACATAGGTGAGAAGAAAGATAGGGAGGAGGAGGAGGAAGGTCGTACCTGTTTTTTAAGTGCTTTAACTGAAAATCTCAGACAACAGTATTGTGACAGATTACCATTTTTATAGACTATTTGGCTTTTCTCGTGGAACACTAGCCTTTTCTTTTGATGTGATCTGACCAAATCCCCATTTCACTGCTCCTCTGCCAGCCCACTGTGTTGCCAGCAGGTCCATCTCAGCTGCTTCTTTGTCCTCTTCCTGCAGCTCAGTGGGAGTCTGTGTGTTCTGTGATGTTAAAAACCTTGTTTCACGTTTTCAGCAAATATTGACAGCAGGTTGGAAAGTTTAAGGTTCTGAACTTCTGGCTTGGTGTTCTTTATGTTATTAAAGTGTACATTGCAGGACTGCTCCATTTTGTGATTCTAAAGGATATATATTGTCAGACTGTCTGCTCAGAGAGTATTTTCTCTGACTGCAATAAGGTTTGACCTGGTGCCCTAAATATATCAATTTTCTTGCAGCCAGGTGACTTACTGTACTTCCCAAGAGGGACCATCCACCAAGCTGACACTCCTCTTGGGACCTCCCATTCCACACACGTGACCATCAGTACCTACCAAAACAAGTAATTATTCTTTATCTTTTGTTTTGTGTGGCTTTCCTCTGCCAAGTGATGTGTGTGAGCAGTACAGACCTGAGATGTGGTGAAGTTTTGGGGCTTGGGGGAAGGAGGGGAGCAAGAAGACTGTTGTTGTTGTTTGAGAGGTTTTCATGCAGCAAGCTTGATTGCTTTTTAATTGCTTATTTTATTATTTACCAGCTGTAGGCTTTAATGTGGAAAATGCTACAACTGCAAACTCACTTCTGTATTTAAAAAAATCTCTCATCAGTGGCTGAAGTTACTGTTCATTTCATAGCTCAGATAAAGAGTCATGAGTTACTCCTTTCATCATGTTTTCTCCTGTATTTGATAGTCACCTGCACTAATCTTCTGACAGATTTGCTGCCAATTCTTCCTTGCAAACATTTTCTGCTTATCTGTGGGTTTTTTTTATCTCCTACCCCGTGTATGCAAGTCAGATTTCTTATGACACACTCCCAGTCCTTGTGCCCACACTGTTATCACACAGGGAAATGTTCTTGCCAACCTAATCAGCCTCCCAGATGCTGGGTTTGGAGCCATTGGTCTGAGTTAGGAATTAGGAAGGGCAGAACAAGTTTGGGCATATTCTAGATAACTGTGGGATGAATCTCTAACCACCAGCTGTGCCATTCTGGAAGCCAGGATGGGCTGGTAACTCTTCATCTGGCCACTCCTCCAACCTGGAGAGAGGGTTAAGAGGAAGCTGCTCAAAGGTGTCAGTCTTCTGAAAAGTTGGGTTCAGATGATTTCAATTTACACATGTGTTCTTTTATTCAGAAGGTAAAAAAAACAAGCAGAGAAAACAAGCAGGAGTCCTGGTGCAGGCTGGTGTTCTGACTTGTAGATGGAAGTATGATCTGGAAGCATTTCCTTGGCAAATTGAAGAGAAATCCTTGAAAGCAGCTGTGGAGGAAGTGCTGGTGGAGGTGGCACTTTCAGGTTATTTTCAGGTTTGTCTGGGCCAGATCCCAGCAGGAGAGAAGTGTGCACATGTGGGATAAGCAGGGCAGTTTGGAAAAGCAGTGAGTAGCTGAAGACAGTTGCTGGCAGATGGAGACTGTGGGGGCAAAAGAAGGGAAGTAGTGAGGAGTAGATGTCTAATTCCTTTCACTGGCCAGAGTTCTTCCCTCCCACTGTGTAGCAGACAGTGGAACACTTGAGTGGAGATGATAAAAAAATATTGAGACTGCAAAAAGTGGCACTTTTTCCTTTTTCCTAAACTAAAGTAGTGTCTAGAGATCAGAGCTGACAGCCAGGAGTGCTGAGGGAGAACAAGAGCAGAGGGTGAAGTGTCTGTTGGAGGACAGGCCCTGCCCTGCTGCCTGCCCTGGGTGGGTGGGAGTTCTGCTGGCAGCCCTGGGTGTTTGTCCATTAAATCAGCCTCAGGATGTGGGAGGGAAGAAGGTCACCCATGGACAGGGCAGCACTTTGGCGTGAGCCTCTTCCTGCCCAGGTCGACTCAAGCTGGGCACAGAAGGTGCAGGCAGGAGGAGGATCCTCCCTCTCCTCCTCTGGTTTATTGTTACAAGTGGGGAACAGAAGCACAGGGATCAAAGCCAATGTTTTTGGTTAAGTATGTAGGCTAAGAATGGGGATTTAATGCAAACAAGACACCTACAAACTGCCTGTCAGGTGTCATTAAAATCCCTGCAGGCATCTTGGTTTTGGGGGCGTAATTAAGTTTCTAGTCAAGCTGCAAACTGATGCCCTGTTGGATTTGATAACCCTGGGTACGTTCCCTCCTTCAATAGAAATGTCTCAAAAGCACATGAAGTGACAAAACCAACCCCACACACTTCACTGTGTGCAGTGGGGCTGTATGTGCCTGTGGCTGGATGATAAAGACCCCAGGAGGAATTCATCAACCACTTGAGCTGCAGTCACTGATAAATGGCAAACACCTGGAAGCAGAAGACACTGGACCCTTCTCAAGCCAGTTCCTTCCCTCTGTAGAAGTGCCACTGGCCTGAGGGTGGTGAGGACACACATGTGCACAAGCCTTTGCCTGAGGCTACAGAGCAGTAACGGAAGGGCCAAAGGCACTGAGCAGATCTGGAATTCTCGGGGTTTCCAGCCCATGACACCAGTTGTGATGTCTGTTTTATTTCAGTGCAGCTATTTCAGGAACTTTTTTTTTGTTTGTTTCTTCCTGTCCATCAGCTCTTGGGGAGATTTCTTACTGGATGCAGTTCCTGGCCTGGTGTTTGACACAGCAAAAGATGACGTGGCGCTGCGGACGAGCATCCCGAGGCAACTGCTGATGGTGGGTAGGTGGGACTGAGGGAATAACGGGGCACCCTGGTGGAACTTCAGCACTTGATCTGCTCTGAAGGCTCAGTGCAATGGCACTGCCTTGTCTAGCAGCCCAGCCACTTCTTTTGAAGTCTTCAGGATGACTCTTCTGAGGTTGGCTCCATCTCAAGCATTGCCTAATTCATTACACTGCTTTTCTTTCCTATCACAGTGTCCTTGTAGGGCTTGTTTCCTTCTAAAAGTAATGCTATTTGCTTGGGATCTGTCAGACAGGCATAATTCCTCTGAGGCCAAGCTTTTCAGTCTTTAAAAGTTAGTGGATATGTAAATTGTTGTGTGACCTCTTTATGGTGATCCTGTCGTGCTGATCAGCTCCCGGAGGAACAAGTGTCTCTTCAACTGCATTTGCTTGTCCTTTAGCATTGCAGTAGCCCCAGAGCAAGGGAAAGTGAGCTTTCATGGGGAATGTGTAAAACAAACAAAGGTGGTTGTTTTGGGACTAAGTGTTAACCTTGCAAAGATAGAAGAGGAGTGTCCAGAGTTTTACAGCATTTCTGTACTGGCTTAGGCCTGATCTGTGCAGCTTGAATTCACGTGTGGATATTTAGCAGGTGAATGCAGCTGACCCCACCAAAAAGCTGAGCAGCCTTTTGAGGAGGCTTGCAGAGCACCTGGACCACACCAGGGAACTGAGGTCGTCTGACATGAAGAAGGACTTCATTGTGCACCGGCTGCCGCCTTGCTTGGGATGTGACTCCGATTCCTTGACTCCAGGTGGGCTTTGAAGTTACTAAAACTGGCTGATGCCATGGTAGAGCTGTTGCTAACTCTGCTCCTCTTGGGACTTTTAGTATTTTATGGTAGGCAAAGATCCCAGTCCAGCATCAGCTTCGTGTGCCGTGAGGCCCCACGGGTGTGTTTGCTCCCCGTGTCCAGTGGGAGAGATGACACTCCCTTCGAGTGGAATAAAGATTATCCTAGACTGGAACTGGCAGCTGTGATCAACTGTATCCCGAGAGCATTTAACTGGGAGCAGTTTTCCCTGGGCTCTAGCTTGCTGTTTATTATAGTTATTTGCAGACAGGAAAGGTGAGAGAATTAAAAAATCTCTTTCTCCTTGCCCCCTCCACAACCAGTTTGAGGACATGTGGGTGTTGAAACATAGCTTAACAAACAGTCCAGCCTTGAGAGAGTGGGGAGAGCACAGGGGGGCTCAGTTGAACCGTTTGTCTGGTTTTCTGCCTTTCTAAGGAGGATTTATTTCTCTTAGGTGGGAAATTGCCAAAAATAGACAGCAAAATCAGACTGCAGTTCAGAGATCACACTCTCATCTCCGTGGAACCAGTTCAAGAGAATGCTGTGGGTACAGTGAAGCCACCTCTGTACATTTGGGGTGGGCTGGGGAGTGCATGTGAGGCATGTGAGTTGTTGCTCTCCTGTGCTAAAGGTCTGTAAGGGTCATGCAGTTACACTGAGCTGGATCCTGCATCCCATTAGGGTTTGTTAGGATACTGTGGGGTTGTTTGTTGAGTGATAGGGCACATTCCAACCTTCTGGAGGGGGGGCTTCAAAACTAAATTCAGCCTATGATTCTGTATGGGAGGTACATGGCTTTTGTCTCAGGTTTGATGGGGTAGATCATTACAGCAGCTAAATGGCCTCTACAGATCTTGATAATAGGGTTTTTTTCTATTTGTATTTAAGAACAGGAATAATTTATAAAAATAGGTTTTCTCAAGAGAGGGAATTCTGCTGGTTGCAGCTGCTGCTGCTGCTGTGGCTGCATTTAGTCTTCACTTCTGGGTTATCTCTGTATCCAAGCAGGTGCCAGGGGCACTACTAAGTTGTTCCACAACATTGATCCATGCATCTTGCATTATGCTGTGTTTATACTGCTTCTTATCCATGAAGGTTTTTTAGTAAAAAAAAGGGGGGGCGGGACACACAGCAAAGATTATCTTGTACAGTTTGGGGTTTGTTTGGATGAATTGAATGTTTCCCAAGAAAAACACACCATAACTTTCTGATTTTTTCCTCCATCTTGCTTGTGTCCATATTGAGACTGTGTAGGTTTTGGAGACTCTTTCCCCCCAGTTTTTGGGCCACCTTGCCTTCTGATGTCACACAGATCAACCCAGGATGACAGGACACATGGAAGACTTGTGTCCACAAATTCCATGTGCAACCTGCCCAGAGAGCTCTGAATTGCTTTGCACAGCTCTGACCAAGGACTGATGATGGGCATGTGATTTTTAAGAGACAGATCAGTATCAGACTGGAAATGTGTTGAGGCACACCTGTTCATTAATACTTTCCCTTAAATGGCCTGTTTTCTGTACAGCATCACTCCTGGGACTCTAGCAGGGGCAGTTTTAAGGCAGAAGATGATTGTAAATAAATTTTCAGAGGTGTTTTGGAGAGTCCCTTATTGCTGTTGGAGGTGGCTGTTGGAAAATTCATTTGGGAGGGTGACTTGCATGCTTTGTTGTAAGAGTGACTCCAGACTTAAGGAGCATTGGCAAGTGCAGTGAGATGAGTCTGAGGCTGTGGATCACAGGTAACTGTTTCCTCCCTGCTGTCTTTTAGGATGAAATTCGCAGGGAGATGGTTTATGTGTATCATTCCTTAAGGAACAGGAGAGACACCCCCATGGTGGGGACAGATGACACTGCCAGTGAGGATGGCACGGCCCAGGTTTGTTCCTGCAGACACACCAAAAATTATCTTTCCATGGTGGGTTTTGCTGCATGAGATGAGCTTGCCCCAAATGGCAGCAGGGCCTGGGTTCTGCCGTGATCCTCAGCACCCAGAGCCTTTCTGCCCAGCCCTGCAGTGCCCAGATGAGCTGAGGCTGCACCACAGAGGCAGTTTAACAGTGGAACTGAGCAATGTGATCTCATGCTTAATTAAACACTCGAGATGTTAACAGGATTTCTGGTGCATGCCTTATGGCCCAGGGAGCAAAGCTACTGGAGCAACTAAAAGCAGTTCTTACTGGTGTGTCCTTAGCACATCCTCTACTGAGGCTACTGGATAGGCCAGCAGATATTCCCTAGGGATCACTGCCATGCTAAACTGTAAGGGGGGTACTTTTGAATTAGATGATCAATGGAGCATAGAGGCGTGAGAACGGAATCATATTAGGATGTGAAACCAGCCAGAGTATGGTACAATGTAACTTCATGGCACAGGTTAATTGTAAGGTCCATTGTGCTTTTTAGCAAGTCAGCTTGATATCCCCTATTATCAGAGCTGAGTTCTTCCTTGGTTTTGCTACATATTGCAAGATAGATACATCTACCCTTGAAACACAATGGTAGAGGTCATACATAGGGGTGAGAAAGATGATGGTGAGAGGAAGATGATGTGGGCAGGGGTCACTCGCCCCTTGCCCTACAGCAGGGCATGCACAGACTGTTGCTATCAGGTGATGAACAAGCAGGGTTTGGCTGCCACTCAGGCATCACCTTATACTGGGTACTGGCCCTACGTGGTGTAATGTAGAGCTGATAAAATGGGGTGTCAGGACTGCTGGGGTGAGCGATCCTCATCCTGCCATGGAGACTGTGTTGTTCCACCGGGACACCCGCTAAGCACGGGCACCGACCAGCTGCTGCAGATCCTGGCAGCCCTGGCCTGTCTGTGTGGGTAAGCACAGGTTATTGACAGGAAGCAACTGAGAAAGCAAATGTTTTATATCCTTTTTTAATATCCTTGTAATTCCCTTTTTACTAGTTAATACTGTATTAAAAACCACTCGTAGTATTGTTTTAATATCCTTTAAATGTTCCTTTAATTCCCTTTTTACTAGTTAATACTATAATAAAAGCCATTCATAGTATTGTATGAATGCCAACTGATAAAGCAGTTATTTTGTATTCTTTTTTAGCTTTTGATTCTCTTTGCTAGTTTTTTATTCTTACTGCAATAAAAGATTTTTTGTACTGTTTGAATGTCTGTTGTACTTGTCTTTATTCCGGGCATGTATTCAAATGAACTAATACACAGGGGCACAGCTCTTTGGGGCAGGAGACGAGCAGCACCCTTGCCAGGACTCGGGGCAGTGGCAGGTCTCCTTGGCCAGGACTTGCCAGAGCTGCTGATTTGGGTGCAGCCCTGGCCAAAGGGCTGCCAGCAGCATTGGTGCCCTTGCCCACACCTTCCTTCTCGGTGTCAGCCCCCCTGTTTAGGATGGCCACCAGCCAGCACTTCTCCCAAGGAGGCCGTGCCAGCTTGTGTGGAAGGCCCCGTGCCCTTCCCGCTGCGACTGAGTCGGCGGCCGAGGGGGCTCCTTGTGCTGCCGTGAGCAGGCACAGGAGGGGAGTGTTTGCTCATTTCTTGAGCCGTTCCTACAGTTCAGGTCCAGCCAGATTAGATACTTCAGAGAGCGGATTCCCTCCAAGGTGGGGCAGGTTGGCGGGGCTGGGGGAGGCCCCAGGCCACGTGGCACTGTGTCCCAGGGCCCTTTGTGACACGCTGGGCACGGCCGGTGGGATGGAAGGGGGCAGGGTGTCCAAGGGCCCTTTATGACCCGCGGTGACAGAGGTGCTGCTGGTGACACGGCCACAGTGTCAACAGTGCTCCTCGGAGCAGGCGACGGGACAGGACGGGACAGAGCGGTGCTGTGCGGAGCCCCCGCGCAGCCAACTCGTGCCTTGCTGACCCGGAGCGTTTTGGAGGATTTTCTCATTTCCAGGTGACCTCGAGGCATTTCCACAGGATTTGGAGACCCGGAGTTTCTCCGAGGTGTCTCTAATCCCTGTGGCAGGTGCCCTTGAGACCCTTTTGCAGGACTTGGAGACCCGGAGTTTCTCCGAGGTGTCTCTAATCCCTGTGGCAGGTGCTCTTAAGACCCTTTTGCAGGACTTGGAGACCCGGAGCTTCTCCGAGGTGTCTCCAATCCCTGCGGCAGGTGGCCTCCAGGCCATTCTGCAGGACTTAGGGCCCGGAGTTTCTCCGAGGTTCTCTTTCTCTCTTGCAGGTGCCCTGGACACCAGACTGTGGCATGGCAGGGAGACGCTTCAGCCTGCTCAGGCTGTTCCGGAGGAAGAAGGAGGAGGAAAGCCCTGGGGCTGCTCCAGCACAGCAGCCTGAAGAGGTGCAGCAGGTGCAGCCCCCGCAGGAGGGTGAGTGCTGGAGCTGGGCCACAGGGCTGGTGGCTGCAGTCCCCTTGACCTCATCCTGTCCCATCCGCTCTGGACATGCCCAGGGAAAGGGAGGGGGGCAGAGGGGCCAGGGCTGATCTGGCAGCCTTGCTCCATCCACTGGGCATCCCAGAGCTGGCCCTGCCTGCTCCTGGAGCCCAGGCCTGGGCTGTGTTCTCCGGCCTCTCCCGCACACCCTCAGCTCTGAGCACGCTCGCTCTTTGCCAGATGCAGGCCAGGAGCGGACAGAAGAGCAGCTCCGTGCCCGTGGCCGCTTCCGCAGGGCAGCACAGGTACCTGCAGCCATCCCCGCCTGGGCTGGGCCTGCTCTCACTGCTCAGCCCAGCACCGCTGTCGCAGCCCTCCAGGGGAAATCCCTCTCTTCCCTGCCCTTCTTTCTCCTGCAGACATTTATGAAATTCATGGGCAGTCGGCGTAGAAAGGCCAGGATCACACCAGCTGATGTCCAGGCCCAGCCTGACACCATCCTGACCCAGCTGACAAAGCCTGATGTCAGCACCGCGTCGACTGCTGTCCCAGCAAAGTGTGACACCACAACCAGTGATCAAACAACCCACTGGGACACCACGTCCACCGATGATGTGTCACACTGTGACTCTGTGCTGCCTGGTCTCACGGAGGAGGCCGACGCCACAACGACGGAGGGCGTGGCGAGCACTGACGCCGCGCCTGTTCAGCGCCTGGCCGATACCCCCAGCCTGGAGTTTCTTGAGGAGAGAGCTGTCTCTGCTGAAGTAAGCAGCCTGTGGCCCCCCAAGCTGGGTGCGCTGGGCCCCCTCAGCCTTTGAGGCTGGCACAGTGTGCTGGGAAGGGAAGCATTTCTCAGGGGAAGCTGGGCAAGTATCTAACTCTGGCAGCTCTCCACCTCTCCCCTGTGCATCCTCCAGGCCAGACTGTGGGACCTGGGGACCTGGGGCTGCTCAAGGCATCTCCAGTCCCTGGGACAGGTGCTTTTGAGGCCAGACAGTGGGACGGGATGAGGCGAGGCATTTCCCAGGCTTCTCTCTTGCAGCTGCCTTCAAGGCACGACTGCAGGACTTGGGGAGCCAAAGCTTTTCCATGGCATCTCTGCTGCAGGTAACCATAACACCAGACGGAGACATGCAGCAGAGACCCCCCATGGTGCCCAAGCTGGCTTGGGTGAAGGAGGAGGAGAAGGAGGAAAGCCCTGGGGCTGCTCCAGCACAGCAGCCTGAAGAGGTGCAGCAGGTGCAGCCCCCGCAGGAGGGTGAGTGCTGGAGCTGGGCCACAGGGCTGGTGGCTGCAGCCCCCTTCGCCTCATCCTGTCCCATCCCCTCTGGACATGCTCAGGGAAAGGGAGGGGGGCAGAGGGGCCGGGGCTGATCTCCCGGCAGCCATGTTCCATCCACTGGGCATCCCGGGGCTGGCCCTGCCTGCTCCTGGAGCCCAGGCCTGGGCTGTGTTCTCCGGCCTCTCCCACACACCCTCAGCTCTGAGCACGCTCGCTCTTTGCCAGATGCAGGCCAGGAGCGGACAGAAGAGCAGCTCCGTGCCCGTGGCCGCTTCCGCAGGGCAGCACAGGTACCTGCAGCCATCCCCGCCTGGGCTGGGCCTGCTCTCACTGCTCAGCCCAGCACCGCTGTCGCAGCCCTCCAGGGGACATCCCTCTCTCTTCCTTGCCTTTCTCCTGTAGCTGGTTTGCAGATTCATCAGGTGCATTTGGCATGAAGAGGCCACTTTCATGGCCACTGGGGACACGGCAAACTCGGACCTCTTCAATGCCCAGACCAGCGCTGCCCTGCTGGATATGCTTGTGGAGAACGGTGTCTACAAAGCAAAGCAAGTAAGCAGCCTGTGGCCAGGGCTCCAGTCCCCCAGGGATGCTGTGGCCCCTCACGCCGGCTGCGCTGGGCCCCCTCAGCCTTTGAGACCAGCAGAGTGTGGTGGCAAGGGGAGCACTTCTTGGGGGAAACTGGGCAAGTTACTGGCTCTGGCAGCTCTCCAACTGTCCCCCGTGTCCCCTCCAGGTGCCGGCCATAGTCAGGTGCATCCATCAGTGGCTCACGTCCAATGTGTCTGCTGAGCACAGGCTGGACAAGACTCTTGTCCTGCTGACCGAGGAACACCCCATGGACGTTGCAGTGACCCTGCTGCGCTCTGCCCCAGCCTGTGACAGGTATGGGGCCCACCTGCCTTGAAGGCTCACCTGCCTTTAGACTCCATCCCCCTGGACAGCCTGTCCCAAATGGTGTGCCAGAGACATGGAGACTTCCAGGACACTCCAGCTCCTCTCTTTGCCAGCTTTGGCATGTCAGCCTCCAATCCTGAGACCAGCCTGCCTCCCTGCCCCACAAGGCACCGTGGCTCTGTCACCTGGGCCCCGCAGCTGCCCAGGCCACAGAGTTGTGTCCCAGACCCCCCTGAGGCAGAGTTGTGACTCCACAGAGCTGCTCGCACCATGTGGAAGACACTCATCTCCTCCAGATGGACTAAGGAGCCGGTGCTGCAGATCCTCTTCCGTGTGCTGGAATACTGGCCAGCGCACAGGAGACGCACCTCTGATGGGGATGAGAGGGATGTCTTTGCCCTGGCTGTGAGTTTCTTGAGCTGGCCTCTGCTCGCCCCCAGGTTGCCTCTGGGACGCCTTTCCATCCTCCCTCACCACTGCTTCTCCCTGCCCCAGGCACTGGGCTGCAAGCCTGGCTTAGGAGCAGGTTCAGGGACACCAGGCTGGGGGATCCCCCTGTGTCTCCCCTGGCCTGTCCCTGCCATGCTTGGGCCCTGCCACATGGACATCTGGGCCCTGAGAGCCGTCTCTGGGTGCTTTGTCTTTGGCAGGCAACTGTGGCACTCTGGGAGATCCTCCAGCTGTCCCACTCCTGGTGCCCAGGGGGAGTGAAGGACAATTTCCCGCGCCTCCTTCTGACTCTGCTCTTCCAAGTTTTCATCAGCACAGAGGAGATGTCAGAGGAGGTCGAGACCTTCTGGAGGCGATGCCGGGAGCAGCGCAGCCTTCCCCCCAACCCC